TTTGTAATAAAATCAACATGACGCTGTAATTGAACTATTAACTGAGGTAGATGATTAATGACCCTGGTGTCTTATTTTATAACAGACAGATTTGACAAGTCACCATCAAAATATTACATAACTAATTCAGATACATTTATCTTACAAATATCTTTTACTTTAAAGATTTTCCAGTCAAATTAAAAAAGGATTTTTTTTAAATAGGATATACAAATCTAGAAGAAATCAAATTAAACCTGTGCATTTTCCCCTCTGACCTTCAGCAAACTCATACATGAAACTACTTCTCATTGTGCTTCTTAAGCTAACAGTTATTGTATAAACATTTTCCTATATTTTCTATTGATGCACTTAAATTGTTGCCAAAATTTGAAATATTAGGCGTTTAAAATTTGCACAAAACTTAAAAATTTGTTTATGTCTTTGTTTCATTAATTATTTTTTAATACACAATGTCACTTCAAAGTTGTGAAAAGAAAACTGTAATGGCTAGTTATGAGTTATCTCCCCTCTGTCAATATTGATGTTGTCAGAAACTACAAAAGGATATCAGCTTGAAGCTATGTATTTTTAGAAGCAATAAAAAATGCAACATTATACACAACTTCTAAATTTTTAGATAGCTTCATGTTTTCTTATCATTTTTCCAAACATGTAAAATTCTTAGATATTCCCCTGTTGACATCAAATCAAAAGAATGATTTCATTTGGATATTATTATTATTAAGTTATTATTATTCCTTTTATGTCCTCCAAGATTACATAAAAAGAATAAATACAATTAAAACACAATCAACATTAAAGAAGAGTTGTATAAATGTACAAAGCAAATCATAATAGTGTAATTGAGAAGTTTTAAATATTTGATACAGAAATCTTAAATTACAAAGTCTGAAATATTCCAAATCTTCTTTCAACATTTCACAGCTAAAAGTACCCGCCAAGAAAGTATTTGCTAAGTCAAAGTCTTACAAATTATTCAACCATGTCATGAAATTTATGCCAAACTTATTAAATAAGTGACACCTTAATTCATCTCAAATATCAATATTTCCAGAGCAGTGACAAATAATATATGTAATAGAATCATAGCACAACATACCACAGTAGTGACACAATTCCTCATGGTTCAAAATGCAAGAGCTTACACATATTTTTAAAATACACTGTATATAAATATTAAGAATACTTTACTGCTAATTTCCGTGAGTGATGTGTTTTAAGCTTAAGATGGATAAACTCTTAAAAAATTGTTGTAATAGAGAATGATATTACGTATGAATAAAGTAGAACCTGGATTAAGGGTCAATTATGCATATCAAGTGAGTTACAACTACACATTTTCAAAGGAGATTATTCTTATACAATAAAAATGGTGGATGAAAAAACCTAGTGCTTGCTGCTAAAGCAGTATCAATTTGAAAATTGAGGGAAAACTTTTTAATATCTACGATGTCAAATCCTAAAATCAACAAGCAACATTTGTTATGGTATTAGATACACTTGTCTTGTCGAAAATGTTCTCCCACTTAATAAATACATGCTAAAACTAAGGGTTTTCTGAAAATTTAGTTATTTTGCCAATGCTTGTTAAAAAATATCAAACATTATGATTTGAATTTGATTATCTGGAGTGAATCAGTTCATGTATTTGGATTTTTAATAATAAATTCAAACTTTATTGATAGTCTGTTTTGAATAAAGTAAACTTTTCTGGTAGTCTGTTCTGAATAAAGTAAAACTTTAGGAGCAACGTATTACGTGTAAAGTGGGTGAGAAATTCTATGAGAGGTTACAGCGGATGCGAGGCATTATAAGGATCATATCATAACGGGCTTGAAGTATTAATATCGAAAGTCAAATTTTATGTTTGGTCGATAATGCTAGTGAGAAGTGGAGATTATTGAAATAAATCTATTACATAGCCAATGGGACATTTTACGGGAAGTCTTGTATAAGAGGAAGTGTAATCTTTGTAAGGTGTAGAAAATATTGAGAAGAAACTGTCAAGATGGGGCAAATAGTACAAGTAGTTAATGAGTGTATGGTATTAGGTCTCAACTTTACTTATCACTTATGGTATTAATAAAGTTTGCTAATGTGTATTTAGTTATATGAAAATTAGAACATAGTGTACTATAGACCATGTCAGTGTGTAAAACTCACAAATTCACGAAGTCCATGTATGTATTATTGTGAGCCATGGCACTTTTGAAATTAATTAAGATCTGGCACGGGAAAGTGATTCTGTAAGTCGTCTTCGCAATAATGTTTTCTCTCATTTCTGGGAGAGGGGTTCCGATATACACACCATATAATAGTGAGAGAATTCTCGGACTCCTCATAATGTTTTATGCTTTATAAATGGCTACTTCAAATACTTTTCGTGTTATAAAATGAGTGTTGACAATGTTAAACATCTGATGAATGATATCTGATAGTTAAATGTGACTACTGCCAACTAGAAAATGGTCTCCCCACAGCGAAGTAAAACTTGAGAGAGAGAGAGAGAGAGAGAGAGAGAGAGAGAGAGAGAGAGAGAGAGAGAGAGAGAGAGAGAGTCACATTCAATCAAATCCCTATTTTACTTTTTTTCCAATTAAGATATATCATCAACTTCACATGGGTTGATAATTCATTAAATGTATTGAGAGAAGGAGATTCTGATGTTTTATTGAGGAAACAAAGTAACTAATCGCTAGTTTTTTTTCTGTAAGTGTACGTTAAATGTTGTACGACAGATAACCTGTTTTATACTGTAATATGACGTCTGCAGTATTTGTTTCACATTGTCTATGATTAATGTATAATACAAAAGCTCATCTCAGAATCAAACAATGATTACTAGTTAGTCATATATCATTTAATGAAAAACACAAGTTCATTGTAACATTTTACTACGTTGCGATGATAAAACCTTGAAAAAAAGTGAAAATGTAATAATTAAGTCCGCTTTTCGCGATATTCCAATCACCAGCAAATGTAAAATCGAATTCATCTAGTCCGTGTGGATTACTTACATAATAAGTAGATCCTGATCAAGCGTAAATCGAAAATATCTAGAAAATCCAATTTGAATATTTAAATAACTCATTTAAATATGTTGTCAAATTTGGACATAGTGACGTTTAAAAGCACCCTTTTTTTAAAAGCAAAGACAAGCCCACCATCCTCCCTTTGGTGCATTTATTATATTGGTGTCATGACGTCGTCTGTGTGGTTTTAGAGTCATTTTCATACATGGTGCTGTTTCACTTAAAATTCAATGCAACGAATAAGATCAAACTGTTAGGAGGTATTCATGTTTAAAATAACCAACTACGTAGCAATAATTTCGCGAAAATACTGAAATATGGTGAGATTTTGAAGCTATTATTCTCTGGTGTTGCGGATCTCTTTCACGTACGTTCTATATACGTTACCTATCCCGTGATACCTAACGATAGCATGTAAAAACAATGAGCGTTTATGTCATTTAATGTAAATCTGGTTTAAGTTAAACGTTGAACTGTAGACTTTCGAGCTATTCTTACGTCATACACGTGATGACGTAACAAATGAAACGATGGAAACACATATCTAGGTTTTGTTGCCACACCACAGTTAATGTTTTAATTGTTATTACATTGGTTACAGGATTGCTTTGTAATAAAACAATTCTTGTATCAATAAAAAAAAATTGCTCCGAAAAGCATCTCTGCATCCAGAATTCGATTTTCCGGACTAGTGATAAAGAGAACATTGCGGAAATCCAGTTCCTTGTAGTTCCGTCCGGATTGAGAGCTCTCTCTGATGGGGTTAAGATATTCGCGTGTCCGCTGTATTTTTTTTATTACGTGTCTTGGACGAAAACATAACATTGCTCATTTTACAACTACAACTTCAATCAAGTTTCCCCTGTCGTCTGATAGCAATGAGGGACGGGGCACATGATTGGTGAAAAGGTTTACCATATCTGATCTAGAAGTTTATTGAATTGTTTCAAATTGAAGCGACTACAGTTTCCTTTACTTTGTTTAAATTTTTTTCCTAATTTTTAAAACTGATTTATTTTGAAGCTCAATTTCAGAAAATTAAAGACAATACCAATATATCTATATATTTGCTTAATGCATAACTGTTTGCTGCAAGACACCGTGGAATAAATAAAATAGAATATATTTACTTACATTTTTTTTTTCAACTTAAACAAGATTTTACATTAAATGACATAAACGCCCCAGTTTTTGTTTCCTTCTTACTCAGCAAATAAATAATAAAAAGCAACGAGGATGTAACTTTATTGTCTATTTATTTATCTACTTATTTAGTGAAGGCTCCAAACTAACAACCGACACAGTCTGACTATTGACAGCTTAATTATAGCTAGCACATTATTATACGTCAAACTTTCAGCGACAGAAATTAGTTACATCTTTTGATAATTTTTCATAAAATACGACAGTATATATGTATTTAAGTTTCAGTTGTTAAGCCTTGCTATATCATTAAACTGTAGATACTTATATGTTATTTAAGTGTACGACAAATAGTAATTTTTGATCTCTTCTGAACGTTTCAAATTGATTTTTTTGATATCTTATTTGTTCTCAAAATTTAAGATAAAATAAAAAAAACCTTGTTTGCTATCTATGAAAAACGCAAATAGGCTACACGACTCCCAATTAACAGTGCTTCACATGAGTAAAATATAGAAAGTCTTTACTGCTATTAATCAAAACAATATTAATCAAACGCTGACAATCTTAACTCGAGTATGTCAATAAATTTTCCCGTATTTTCTGTTCAGAGTTCTTTGTTCATCGTCACTACGCTTGCGCACTTGCTATTCACGTGTGTCAAACAACCAATCAAATCATTTCGGTCATTGTCGCCGCCAAGCTCGTTTTGCAGGAAGAATACATATCTTCGGCAACATTGAGTTTGCAAATTTTCCGTTATTTTTCATCTCATGTATTTGAAATGAGAAATGGAGACACATCAGAATTACGGAGATGAAGGGTAACTCAGACAAGATCTTCTCTTGGTCGAAGGAATTTCCTTTTTGTTCAGGGACTCGATCGGAACTTTCGATGGACGCCATTTTGTCATTGGGATTTTAAAGATTCCGATACTCTCAAGACATAATCCAGCAGTTTTGATTCACTAAGGAGATTGAGGAATAACAGAGCTTGAGACTAGTATCTATTTTATCGGGTGAATGGTGCCGATCCACTGGATATGGCCAATTCGAACACCACACTTGCAAGTTTATGGATGGACGATGGTAAATTGTCGCCCTTGTTTACATGTTTTCTTGTAAATCAATGAATAATCGTTTTGAAATTTGATCACGTTTTTAAGAGTTCGGGATATGCATTTTGTGCATTCATGTATGTTTTCACAAAAGAAATATGTTTTCTGATAATTTTACCGAATCTGTTGCCCCAACATGCATGTTCGGACCCCATGACGAAAATGTAAACAATAGGTTGATTTTTCCGCGAATGTACAGGCCTACTCCCATGCTCGATTCGGCACTCTTATCTGTGAATGATTATCACACTGTCTGATGTTGCATTATTCAAATTCGCAGCGGCTAATATAAATCAAATAACGATTTAACCAGTCGAACGAATCGCTATGATCATTTTTGAAGAATTTCATGTATTGCAAAATATCATTGGGGACATAGCATTGATTTCCTCAGGCCCTTCACACCTTAGAGTGCTGGTGTAGACCTATAGTTCATTCTACTATGAACAGGTTGAAAACTCACTCAGAATATTGAGACTGCCAAATAACTTGAGTACACCCATCTTAAAAAAAACTGGGTCTAATTGGAATTGGAATTAAGTTTATTTGCCTTTTGCACCACGTTTACTGTAAACAGGATTTATTATTCAGTTTTAGTTTTATGCCTCTCGAATTCATTGCTTTTTTTTTCATCCTTTGCATGAATGTTGAACACGCAAATGATAAACACATTGTAGATCTGAATACATCAGATTCACACACCATTTCCTTAGTTTCAGGAAATTGGAAATTGCCTTTCCATATCTTGGCTTAAGTTTAACAAGATTTCAAACCAACTGAACATTTTTTAGTAGCCCTAGAAATATTAGTGTTGAAAGGGCAGTAATTCTTATGCATGCCTATGACTCGATATGCTTGTCTAAAGTTTACAGGTGTTTGGTTTCAGCTCAAGGAAGTCCTGTGAAAATCTTGCAAGGTACACCTACAAAGTCATCAAATGGATCCGAATTTAGGGATGATATTGTGAAGTTTTACAAAGACTCTGGACTTGAACCTGTAGCAAAAGAGGTAGGTTGATATTTGTGTATCTAATTAAATTGTTGGTCATTATCTGCTGATCATCAGGTTGTGACAGCTCAGTCGGATAAGAGTGTTGGTCTAAGTGAACTCAGGTGAAGTTGAGAGGTGCATGGTTCAACATTCCCGACTTGTTGAGGTTTTGTGTTTCTGGGGAAGCAGTAGAGGAACAGACTGGTCTGTACCATGTGCTTGTATCCTTGGGCATACCACTTTACCCTAAATTGCTTTAGATGGTATGAGACAGGCCACTTGTATGTTGTTCATTTAGGTTGTCACCAACTACTACAAGGAGATTCCATCTTAAAATAACCCTGAATATTCATGGCGTGATTAATCCAGCAAACATATAGCTGATCATGAATACATTCACAAGATGAAAAATACAATATCAGTTAGTAATCAGTTTCAATTTGAAACTTACATCAGATTTTTTTCAGTTATTAAAGCATAACTCTTCAGTGTTTTGAGATAGATAGCAGTACATTTTGATCATATTGTCAAAAGTCGAGTTTCACTTGCAGTGGATATTGGATACAGTAATATGGATGTTTGTGACAGTATCAAAAATCTGATTCCAAAAGTCTTGTTTACCCTCGTCGAGATTCCTGACACCAATAATGTTAAATATCAGGTGACCTTTTGAGGTCTTGCTATTGTTCCTGTCGTTTTCATGATGTGTCAGAGTCATTGATTCTGATCTTGTGAATAATCATATGGGCAAGATTTGCAAAATGTGCAGACAGTAAATTTTGGTTTTACTAAAGCAAATATTTTTCATTGCCAATCAGACGCAGTGTTTGATTAAATCTCTACAAACTGAAATTAGCTTGTTGCTTGTTGACCATGATTTTGTGATCTCATTTATATACACATGACAGTGATAGGAACTGACATGGCTGTACTCCTGAAGAACAAGTTTGCGTTCCTGCATTTGAAAGGGATGTTGCTCTGATGACCAATGCATGAAAACCTAATGTACTACAGCTTGTCAAGTCAGAAATTGCAACCTACTTCTGCTGATAAAGACAGTCAGTAATTTTAAGTGTACAGCCATTTGAGCAAGGATTTTGTGGTTTTTGGCTTAGTCATTGTAGCCCTGGTAAAATACTAGCCGCAATATACCACTTGGCTAGAGAGAACTTCTTTTTAGCTTGATTGGTTGAGCCTCGTAAGACTAGTAAGCCAGTTTTCCCAGGTTTGATTCCTAGCAGAGGCATTGAAGTAAATAATGACCTCCGTACATTGGCGCCCACGTAGGGACCCGGGAATGGTACTTAGCCATGCCCCACTAGCATTGCTGTAACCCCTGGAAACTCGAGGACCAGTTGTTTCCTGGAGGGAGAGAATGTAACCCTGGTATAATACTAGCCGCAATATACCACTCTGCTAGAGAGAACTTCTCTTTAGCTCGATTGGTTGAGTGTCAGACTACTAAGCCAGGGATCCCAGGTTCGATTCCTAGCAGAGGCATTGAAGTAAATAATGACCTCTGTTACATCAATATGCTGACATGAAATGTTGAGAAGGGCTGCATAATTTAAAACTCTCTCTTAATGAAAGATGTTTTAAGAAAGTAAAAGGTTTTCATCAAAATGTCTTTTAAATTTCCTTGTTCTGAAACATCTTGATACTGTATTACCAGTTCCAAGGGCAAGGTTATAAGTAGTTGGCTAAGGTTATAGGTGGATATGATAAAGTTTAACATCCTTTCTGACGGTCCATTAATCTCGCACATTTTCTGGTCTGTTCATGAGTCATATTTATGGACAGAGTTTTGATATCAAGGATACCCTTCACTGGAAATCAGAGAATTCTCTTTCACTTTCTTTTTATTACTCTAGGAGCTACATTTATAGATGAATTTTCTGCAGATTTGACACATATTCAAGGCATTTGTTAACCTGTGATATGGGGTAAAATAGTTCAATATGCAGCAAAGTCATATTTGATGCATAAATTTCTGATGCCTTATGTCAGGTTGATGCTTCAAATTTGACTGGTGACACGAGGTGTGTTAGTCCTTAAATGTCCAATTTTATCAATCAGTAACAGATTTGCTAATGGGTTGATCAATTTGTTAGTTGACATTTATAGCCTGTCCCCAGCATCAATTAAAGGGATAATTCAATTGTGATATTGACTATATAGCTAGCTGCTGTCAGGTGTGTGGCACAGGCGTTAATTAGTATACAGTATGAGTAATGGCAGTCTACCTATATCTGCATTATTAAAACAATGAAATTCTAATCATTGAAATATAAGCTGTGTTAGAAGGTTATATCAGCTAATTATGTTCACACAAGTGTGTAATTTCTTGCATTTAATCTTGATGAAACAAATGGATAACAAATGACATGTGTTATGTAGCAGCCATTGAATTTTGGTAACCTGAATAACCTTTCCTGATCCATGCAACAGCTGAAGGTGAAACAAATTTTGAAAGTGTTCTTCTCAATAACCAAAAGGCCATGGTTGATATTTTGCTGGAAGGTTCCTTGGGAGAAGCCCAGCTACATTTGCAAAAGTAAATGACCTTTACCCAAATTCAAGACATGTCAATTGTCAAATAGCTGGTTAAAACCTTCATATGACAATTTCTAATGAACCTAAAGATGTAGAATCATAATCTTAGGCAGTTAACTCCTGGGATGAAGCTAGACAGTGTTTAATTAAAAGAAATTACCTTGACCCGTATTAAAGGTCATGGAGATATAAATTTTCTCATTAATAAAGAATACTTTTAATTCTGTTGTTTTGAGTAATTGGCTTATTGGGTTAATTTATTGAAATTTGAGTACATGTATGATTAAATCAAGATCAATTTGATGATAGAAGATAACTTCTGCATGTCATTTAATTGATAATATCTTGATCAGATTAAAATGCAAAAAATGGTTTTACTAAACATTTAATTGGCTTTCATTTATTTTCAAACTGATGCATATTAACGGAACTAATATTCACTATAAAATTTTAAAAATTTTTCATGAATAATTTTATTCGGCTTTGGATGTATAGCATAGCAGAGAGCTGCATACCTGCCAATTTTCCTGGTTCAGTCAGGAGTTTACTGATTTTCCCTCCCCAGCCCCGCCTTCCACTCATTTGGATCAGAATTAGGGAAATCTCTCGATTTCAGAGATGCTGTTAGGTAGTTCTTAAGTACCCATGCCATATTTGTCAAATAGGTGAGGATGACTTCCTGGCCACATAATCAAGGCCTAGCTAGATGTGTTAACACTACCCAGTTATCTAATTAGTGTCACATAAGTTAATCCTTGCTGACTGCTAGACATTGGAGCACATGGCCGATTGTACACAATCCATTGTTCCCAACCTAATTAATGATGACCATTGGTCAGGACTCCAGAACAGGCCCTGACAAACAGTCATTTCAGATAGGTCATTATACTGGTAATTGATCAGTTATACTACCTTTTTGACCAAATAACAAACTCAGTTTGAAACTAATTTGAAAACCAATCTTTATGATATAACAATGTGCAGGCATTCCTCAACCAGTGCCAAATATTCAACCTCATTAGTCCTTAAAATGTATCTTAGTTGGCAGTCTGGGTAAAAATTCAAATTAAAGAAAAAAAATCACTCATTGAAAAGTTGACCTAAATTACAGACATGTTGGGTTCTCCCCCCCAAAAAAAGATGTTATTGGTTAAACAGGAAGTAGTTATGCATTTGCAAATTCGGACTGGATCTGGACTAAATTTTCAGATTTGTATCTGTCTAGAATTATTTCATAAATATATATTTCACAGTGAAATTGTTAGTTCTAGATTAATGCATTTTAAATTTCATGAAAAAAAATGTTTCAATTATCTTTATTTGCCAATTTCTCTAAAATTTCAGTAAAATGACAGTTTAAAATTTCATGACATAATCAATATTAGTTTTTTCTTATTTCAATTAAATTAAATTCAGAAGCATCATATTGGAAATACATTACCAAACACTTAATAATAAATCTTAATATCTATTACATTGTGTGAGTGTAATGAATACTGAGAATTTAGATCAATCTTATTTGATACAGAATTCACATTTAATCAATTTCAGCTTGATCCTGAGTACTGAGAGAGAGAAAAAAATCATCAGTATAGTAAGACATGCACATTATTAACTTAAACTTATCCAAAGTTATTGATTAAATATACATTAAGTTTTCTTTTGTGACAAATGTCGCATTCATGGTATCACTATTCGTGGCAAGTCAAAAATGTTGTTCATACACTATTCTCTTCCATGAGAATTCCGAAAAGTTGGCAGGTTTGGAGCTGGTTACACAGAAATTTCTCTCCTTAAAATGATAATTTGCCAGCGATGTCAATTAGATTCAAATTTATGTTGTTGATATTTACGTTTTTCCTGATTGTGCTAATTTTAAAGACAGAACTCAGGTATTCATAAAACTTGTAGAAACGCCTCCACCAGGGATGTGGTGAATTAAACAACATGCCCTCAATGTCACCGTAAATCTTGGTTTCATTTCAAAGCAAAGCAAGTTATTTGCTTCACTAACCTTATCAGACTTTATGGTTTGCTCTATTTAAACCATTCCAGCTTGTCTTTTCTTTTTCTGCTTTGACTTGGCAAATTCAGTTGTGCTGCCATTAACAGTAAATACTGATTACAGCTTTGCAATGCACAGTATAGCCCAATGGGTGGGCGCTTGGCTGTGCCAGGTAGTACTTGGCAATAGCAGGCGGTCCCAGGCTGTAATAACTGGTAATTCTAATTTGACAGATTTCTCTGGGAGTGAATTGATCAATCTAAATGAAAATTTTGTATATCAGAATAAATCTCAGCAGAAGTGTAAATACCACATTGGTGTGAATTTTACCTATTTCCAGAACCAGGCTGTTGTGACCAGAACAGGAGACTTCAGAATGATTTCTTTGTATGATTATTAAAAACACATCCTTCACAAAAAAACTGGTGCTGAAACAGTGGTACAAAAATGACTGTTAACA